GCATAGTTGCAACACCAAAACGAGACACAAAGATGACGAGAAAAATTACGATATTGTAATAAAATTATTAGTAAGTTCAATATTGTATCTCAGAATTATTATTATAGTAGTAAAAGAATATTAATCTTTATTGCGTTAAATCGTGAACACACATTTATGATAAACGATAAGTAAAGTCGTTAATAGAGGATGTCCAAATTATTCTTCATTTTGTCTACTCCACGATTGGCATTATACATAATACCTACGCAAAGCTCGTATTATGTATATTGCCGAATGATTTTTGGCATTTTGTATAATGCCTAGACATTTTGTAAAATACCGGATCATCCATATTGCATATGTATATTTAATTTATGGTTAAGCTGACTAGTTAAGATTGTTAGGTCAAACTGTTTAAAGCAGCTCTTTTGGTGTGTGATCGAACTAAGATAATCATTAACCAAATATTAACATTTTTGTATTAAATTGTTCTATACTATATAAATTAATTTAAGGCTGATCGCCCACCAAAGTAACGTGACATGTATCAGGGACGTATTTATGGAAGGCGAGGGGGGCCGGGCCCCCTCCGAAATGAAAAACACCATTGTTAAAGATTGTTATTTTTAACATGGATATGTCTTAATGCCGGGGATTTCCGAAAATTTGTGGTGACACTGAGAATGTTGCTTGTGCGATAATTTAAAATTTTATATTTATAAAATATGATTATTCTTTTAAGAAAATATTTGGTGAATTTTGAGTGACTCTAATAAAAAAATTGTTTATTACAATGTAGTTTTTATACTTTTAAAAAAATAATAAATCATTAAAAAAATTGAGTTTCTTAATTCTCTAAAGATGTAAAGACAGTCGAGAAGTCTTATAGTGTTAAAGTAATTTTTTTTCGTAATAGTGTGAAGCGTCCTCCTTCCCTTACACCCAAAAATCAAATACATAATCGGCCCCCTCCGAAATAAAAACCTATATACACCACTGACATGTATTGTGGCGAGCGAAGTAACAAATGTGCAACAACCAAATTACAAGTAGTGTGTCACAACACCTACCTAAGATGTCATGTAACTAGCAGTACTAATACCAACTCAGTCGTCAATATGTCTTCAACATCGGACAGTGAAAATAAATGAAATTAATAAATGATAATAATGCAAATAATAAAAATAAGACAGTATCGGGTTTATTTATAACGAAAAGAAAATCAAAAAATTAAACGTGGATTAACTTCAATTATACTAACAAATCGATAAAAATCTTTAATCTACAAAAAATTAAAACTTTTGAAAATAAATACAATGAATAAATGAAAATAATTTTCAAGTGCTTATCACTAGAAAAATGGTTCCCAAACTTTTGAACTCTAAAATTTTCAAAAAACTTACAGTCCCCCTCTTCTATCACTTATATTTTAGAAAACCTTTTTTTAGTGATACGAAATAATTATAAAATTACCAGAATTTTGTTGTTAAAATAATTGTGCCATTTTAGAATCAGTAAAACTTAAAATAATAAATTAATTTAAATAAAATAAAGTTTGAGAGTGGAAGCCGACGGGAAAAAGGCCTCATGAGCGATTGATAAAAAGGTGGTTACTAGTGATGGGCAACGAAATCGAAATTCGATATGATATCGATATTGTGACACATTTCGACACCGATATCATTCTATAATTGTATGATATATCGTGATGTAAAATTTAAATTTTCTCGAAATACATTTTATTTTTAGCTTCTAAGCTTTAGTAAATTGTATTGTGTGTGTCGTGTAATAAACCATTAACTAATGACACTAATAAGTAATAATAATAAAGTAGTAATAAAGTTGGTACACGTGTAACTTTAAAAACAAGAAATAGATTATCTTTAGATGGAGTTTAACAATCTTCTCTTTTTGAATTTCTACTAAATGAAAATTCACTAAAACATCAGACCATACTTTGAAAGAAAACTATATACTTTTTAATTTTACAAAATACATACATTATAAAATTTAATTGAAAATTATATATAATTTACATAAAATTTATTTTCTAGGATGCAGCAATTGGGTTTGAAGATAAAGAATAAAAACAGAGTTGTTTTGTTTAGTTATGTTTATTTTAATAGTCATAATTTAAGACAAGATTTACAATAATATTTATTTAATTATCTGAATACAATTTCTTATTATTTAATAACCAATGTTTAATAAATAAGGAAGTAGTACGTATGGTAAAAGTTTACGATTTTGGTGTACCAATAATAAATATCAAATACGATATCGATATCGTACAAATTACGATATCGCGATACAATATCGGGAAAATCGGAACGATATCGATACACAATATATCGTTGCCCAACATTAGTGGTTACAGGTAATGGAAGACCTTGATTGAATGGGTGTTCAAGACTGGAGATAATTAGCTCGGGACTGAGAAAAATGGAGGAATTTAGTGATAGCGGTGAAAACTCTTAGAGTATTAAGAATCACATGAAGAATTAAAATAAAAATAATTAAATCATAAACTGTACAATATAATATAACTAATAAATTATTAGTATAAATTATTTTGTTTTCAATTTTATTGATTGTAAAATGACATCATTATTTTAACAAAATTCTCGTTATTTCATCATCTCTACACTCCCCCCGTACTGTATCAAAATTCCCCCTAAAAAAATTCCCCTAAAATTTTCTACATAATTTAAAAAAATTCTTTCACGACCTAATAAAATTTATTTATTTTATTTTATTTTCATTTTTTATCAAACGGACCGTTTTAAAAGGGTTCAGTATAGGTAATTATATTAGTGCGTGAATGCGAACCGTACACGTGCGCGCGTTGTAAATGATCATTTGGCTGGCAACACACTAGCGTTATTTTACCGCGCCACATTTTACTGCACATAAAAACAACTAACCTAACGGTATCAACGATACATAACAAACCGTCCGAACTGTCGCGAGATTATTACGGCTAACGTGAGGCCGCTCATTTGATTCAGTGCATATTAACAGGAAATACCTATCGCGGGGTATTTTTTAACGCACGGTAACGTCAAGGCGCACGCGACGGTTTACGAAATATCGCGCCATAATTTTACTGCGCAACACTCGTGTGTCGTGTGCTCTATTCGTTTTAATGTACTTTAACCAAACGCGCAATAAAATTACGGCGCGGTAAAAATTTCGCACGGTAAAATAACGCTGGTATGTTGCCAGCCTCAGTGTTATTAGTAGGGATGGGCCGATTATATACCCGATATTATAATCACAAGTAAAAACAAAGTTGATTTTTAATATATTACATAAAAAAATCAACTTTTTTGGCAAAACCATGAACTGATACTAAAATTAATCCGATTAATCCGACACCACAGACCGATAAAACCCATACTTGATATTATAATCACAAGTAGTTTTTGCGGTATCGGTTGAAATATCGGTTTTGAAAATAAACCGATACCGATATTTCCGATACCACCAATATCGGCTGATACCAAATATCACTTCTAGGATCGGCCCACCCCTAGTTATTAGTGCGGCTCATCGCCTATACCACCACCTTCGTCCTTTCATAGACGATGGTCGTATCGTTATCGCAATGCTATTTAAAAATAAAATAATTTTAAAATAATGTTTATATAGACATTGATTTTATAATATATGCACATAAATCTAAATTCATTTCAAAAAATGAGAGTTAAATTTGCTGAATTTAGTAACATTATGGCTTCAATAATTCGCACATGTGTCACTACAAATGAATTAGTAATTAGTGAAACAGCTTTAGCTACAGCACATTTTGTAGATTCTATGAACAGGCTTTTTGATTGTTTGAATAGCAGTTCTTTATATAGTAAAAATATTTATAACTGCGTCCTCCTATTTTGTAGGCATGTACAAGTTGTATAAAAATGAAAAAAATCACTCGACCTCCGTGTTTTAATGGGTTTACCCAAATGATGAAAAAAAAACATAACATCAGCTTTTTATTGACAAATCGCTTGAATCAAGATGTGTTTGAAAATTTATTTACAATTTTTCGACAGAAGGGGGTTACAATAGAAATCCTACGTCAAGAGTTATAAGAACATCGTTTAGTAGCATAGCCATTTATTCGTTAGTGCTTAATTGTATATTTGATACATGTGAAAACATACATATATACATATATTATATTTAATTTCTTATAATATTTTAAAAGGTATAAAATTATAAATTATTAGACAGAACACAGTTACTACTACACATATAATTAAAGTTGGTAGCGTTTACGTGGTGACAAACGACATTACTGCAATCATTTGCATTTACTTGATAAAAACCGGTTTTTAAAAACAGACAATTTTATTATTATACTATTATTAATAGTTATTCTTTCTGATATCAAAAACATATTTTTATCAAGTGGTATGAAAATTATTACACCAACATCTAGTAAAACAAAATTATGTCATATATTATATATGATTATTAGTTCGATTTCTAAGGGTAAACACAGGCCATCCGCACATTACGCCATAGGTTTCCAAAGTGTGCGCCACGATGTATAAGGGCACCGCGCCGTCATGAAATACTATCGGGTCTAACATTTTTCTTATGATTAGTCATGTTATGACTTAGAGAAGGGCGCCCTGAAAAAAACCTTGCATCAAAAAGGGCGCCTTGAGTCGAAAAAGTTTGGGAAGCACTGCACTACGCGATTGAGAAGCGGTATGTGTGATACACGCGCGATTTGAAGTCCAAGATTCAGGGATTAGTTATGATATTATAAATATTGATTATTAGGCTTTGTTTAGTTTGGTTATATACAGTTTTAAAACCGAATATCGGATATCGAATTAACGTATAAGTATGTGTAAAGAAAACAATTTAATTTGATCAAACAAAACACACTGTAGGGGGGGGGGCTATTGAAATGTTTGGGGAAGCTAGTTATTGAATATTCGACCAATTCAGATGATTAATATTATAAGTTGTACATAGGTTACTGATGGATATAGATTACTCACCGGGTTTCACATGAATGACGAGCGAACAGTTGAAAACGACACCAAAACAAAAAAAGATGAAACGTAATAACACTAACAACAGAATGACGTACGACAGGAAAACAAAATATCGGGAGACGCACGACGTCGAATGAATGACACGGGAAGAATAAAAATCCAAAACCATTAGATAATAATCTAATCCAGAGTTTCCCAAACTGTGGTCAGTGGACCCCAAGGATCCGCACGTAAACTGGAGGGGATCCGTGAACGTAAATTAAAAATACACAAAATATTTATTAATGTTTTTAATTTTAATTTTTACTAAGGGGTCCGCGATCATTTTTATTTTCTCTAAGGGGTCTGGTAGAGAAAAACTTTGGGAAACGCTTAGGAATCTAATCTAATGTTATCCATGGGTAAACATGCATCTCAATACATTTCGAAGAAACGCGACTATATTTAAAATTGATAAAAAAAACCCCAAAATATAAGCGCGGTATTTTATAGGCGCGCACATGGGAAAGCACGCGCTCAATTTATCAGTTTCTGTTAAATTCAGATAAATAAAAAACGTCCGAAGACCAAGAACCTGATGGGTTGTTTTCTTTGCTCAAGACATCAAAAATATAAAAAAGGACTCGATTTTTGACGACGCATATGACAGAGAGAAATGGAGAGATTTTGTGATGGCAGCAATGGACCTTAATGGACTGGCAAGCTAAGAAGTAAAAATAAGAAGAAAGATAATCAAATAAAACTGTAAATATTAACAGAGAAAGATCTATAATTTTTCTTGTTCAAAAATCGAACTCGAAGGAATTTAAAACTTTTTAATGATGGCTTGTAATGGTATTCACTATATAAAGTGGATTGATAAATATTGCGTACTAACATAATAATCAGCTATTTATCATATAAGTAAGGTTTGGTCATTTCAAAATGTGTGTGAATCTAATTATCTAGAATATTTCACTATATTTATGGTGGTGTTTCAGTGGAGTGTAATATTTTTGGATTAAATTTAACAAATATTAAGAATATGATTAAAATGTTAATAGTTTTTCAATTCCCTGCCTTATGTTATTGTCCCACTGATCATTCAAAATGATAAATTTGCATGGCTTATATTCTGAACAGGTTACTAACAGTTTTCGAAGCCACGCCCCTGGGAGGAAGTGGTTATTGCGCCGAATGGCGACGTTTACTTGCCGTTATGTTATAAAAGTTCCTCAGATCTACGGAAGACCATATGAACAATATCACTTGATGTTCAGATAATTCGAGAATTTTTTCAATGTAGGGATTTATGGTGGTGTTCCGGGGGAATAAAAATGTTTTCATTTAGGTTGTACTAGTATATATAATATTATATAAAATAATAATTTTCTTCGCTTTTGGAAACCAAAGGTGTTTTTTTGGGGTTACCTGGGAGATCTCTTCATTTACATATGAAAAAAGCTATAAATCATTCCTGACTCCGGACAAACATTTTGAATAGCAGCAAGCAATGAGCGTCACTAGAGTCCAAATTTTGAGGTAGCAAAGTTTATTTTTAGAAAGTGAAAATTTAATTTTTTATAGGTTTAATATGATACACTATCTTATGGTCCGTATTGAACTTATCACAAAATATAATTATTTTGGATACAAAAACATTAATATAGTAATATATGTACAGACTTGAATAATAAACATCGATTTTTAAAATCGGTGACTTTTTTTAGGATAGCAAAAATATACCCTTGCTATACCACAAAAATGTCTGGGGTAGCAAAGATACCCCTCGATACCCCTTAGTGACGCCTTTGGCTACAAGACCCTATCTTGCTTGGAGCTTGCACAATTGTTGTTTTTAACGTCAGTTCACCTCGAATTAAATATATTCTTTTTTAATAATGTGGTGAGCTGGACTCGAAAAACTGACTCAGCACGATTTAAAAACAAAATCCACTTTTGTTGCAATGTCGACTGCAATGGCCCAATGGAAACGAAAGGTTCAAGAAAATAAAACAATATTGCTTAGGCTGTTAAGAGTTTATTTTATTCATTGAGATTAAATATTCAGCATTTGTGCACATACGCCTCACATATGTCTGCTTAGAAGTTAAATCATTTAAATAAGTGTGGTGCTGCGTCCATCTTTTATACAAAAATACCCAAATTCAGTACCATAAGTGATTTTAGAACAAGGAAAAGTATCAAAACTTTTGGTTGTTTCAAAATACCTATTAATATTAAAAACATAATATCCGTAAAGCTAAAATATATGAAGGTTAAACAACTATTGGTAATAATATAGTTTTCACCTGTTAACGTTTAATAAAACAAAAAATCATAATATTAAAATAATATTTATAGTAAACAACTTATGAGTACAAGGAAAACAGGGTGATAAGGAAAATATCCGATACATAAATTTCAAAATAACCATCAGCGTATAATGCAAAGTGGTTGTTCCCTGTATATAAACTTTATAAAATTATTTTTTGTTGGTGTAAAATTCTATGTACAACTTATATTTTATTTTATTATTTTTGCTGTAATGTACGAACAAAGGCAAATTAAAAAAAAAAAAAACATAATATGTTGAATTAGGCTATTATTATTTAAATTGTGTTGTATGTACGCATATTGAAAAAAAGAGTTGTTATTTATTGGTTTATAAACTGTTACATAATCGAATGGTACACATCATTACAATTACAACCTAATGATACTATATTTTCACAGTTAAGCTTTTTTTATTTTAAAAATATAATTTATTATAATCATACAATCTCAATAAATAATTAGGCATGGAATGAAGGTGCAATATATCGGTAAACAAGTTCATTGCATTTAGCACAAAAAAATATTACACATGTTGTTAATGTATGCATCATTTAAGTAATAGGTGAAAAATAAAATAATATAGAATTTAATAAATGATAAAAATAATGCCATAAAATCATATAAATTTTAAAATACTTAATTTTCTTTCATACATTTATGTCATTCATACTCTACCTATTAAAAGAATTTTTCAATATTAATTCAATATATAATTTAATTTTTCATTTTGTAACTAAATAATAATTTAGTTTTCACCTAAATCACATTTCATGTGGGAGTCATAGACCAATTTTCATTTTTTTTTTTCGAATATTTAGTATAAATGTTTAATAATAATCAAACTAACAAAAATTTAACTTATATAAAATATTATACTAATATATAAAAAATGATAAAAATAAACCAATAATAATGAACTAAAATGATAAACATTTTAATATATTAACTATCATTATGATTAAATCTATAAAGACATGTGTTGATTAATTTTTTTCTTAGTGGTCCTTCATAGTTGTTTATTAGTTTTGAAAGTTGATTGTCATTTTCAATACATTTTGTTAAGCTCTCCGTACAAGTGTTTGGTAATTTCATATCAAAATAGATACATACCTAAAAATATATACTATAATATAATATCTAATATAATTAAAAATTCAGTTTTATTATGTTCAGTGGTATGGTGAACTTTACGAAGAGGCAATGGAAAATTTACTGACAAGTGACAACTACCTACTAACTAATCAAAAACACCTGCCATATAAATGGCTTTTGAGGGGTATTTGTTATAGAATATAAAGTATAGTCTATGCTAAACACCAAGGGTGTCCAACCTACAGTCCATCAAGCTATTCAAACCAGCCTGTCAAATTTACTAATATTTTTTCAATATTATTCCAAATTTAAAAAAATGTGCACATAAAATTATTTCAATATTTAGCTCCATTTATGTGCACAGGTATTTTCAAAAATTTAATACATCAAATCTAAGTATAGAACTAGTTTAAGTAACAATAATTTACACGTAACACTGTTGATTGGAACTATAAAGTTTGATGCAAAACATTAAGAAATTTTAAAATAAAAGCAATTCAACATTTCTCATTACATAAATACTCATATCTCAATAAAACAAATGTTGAATAATGAAAATAAAAATAAATATTCATTTTTCTAAAATCTAAATAAATCTTATATTTTCTTATCTATTGTTAAACTTCATTACCTCTCTATTCAATCTATACAATTTTAATCCGCAATGCCAAAACGTATCTCAAATTTGGCCCACCCTTAAAAAAATGTTGGAGACCCCTGCTATTGACTATAAATTATTGTACTACATTATATTATAGAATAGTTTATTTTAATGTAAACATGTTATGCACTATTTTAGAGTGGAAAAAAATGTAATTTATCGTAGATAGGTTAGTTGTAGTTAATATATTCATGACTCGTCCATCCCTAAAATATTCAGAGGCAATTGATGCTCAAATAAGCCTTCGCCTTACCACTGGTAATGTTCTTAATATACAAATTTAAACGTCAAACAATTTTATCATTTTCAATAATGTATTCAGACAATTTAATTGATCAAATATGGAAAATTTTCACCTCAAAAAATTTAATATTATTTCATAAATTTTACATACTTTATGTGAAATAGTAATAAATACAAAACAAGAAACAGGTTTTGTATTCGATCTTGCTGTATACATTCCAGAACAAAAAGCAGTAATAGGTTCTCCAAGTTTAAATGTTGAAACTTGTTTTTTCTGATCTATAATAAAGGTTTCTCCATTCCATGAACATGCTATTAAGAAATCAGAGCCACTTTCTGTTATAGACAACTTATTTAAATAAAACACTTCATGTTCAATGTTCTTAGACCTTTAAAACCAAAATAAGTATATAATATTTATTATTATTCATTATTTATAAATTTATAGTGATAAGTTTTACCATATAATTGATTCTTGTTTTGCCAACATTAATAAACCATCCGAAGTAGCAATGGCATAAAAATTATCATTTATATCATTAACATCATCTTTACTTTTATCTATCTTGATATTACCAATCATCTCTGAAGAAATTGAAGGATTACGAAGTTCTAAGTTAAATTCATTTTCATAATCAATTATTTTTTCACTAAAATAATAAATATGTACGGCTTACATAATTAAAATAATTTTTATAATAATTTGAATTGCCTTACAACATGAGCTCTGGAAAAGCAATGGGACAATAAATACGCAATGCAGTGACACCTGGTTGAGAAACAAGCAAACATGGTCGACCATTTATGTCCTTAATCATTATGATTGAACCAATTTGGTTACCACATTCCCACTTATGTAATGGAACTAGTCGCCCAGCAGCCGCACTTTGACTCCAACGATAAGATCGTATCACTCTATCCGTTAAACCAACAATTAACTCTAACATTCCATCTGCATCAATATCACCTAATAAAAGTACCTAAAATTATTATTACATCAACAAATGTTTTCAATACATAATGCATTTTATTTTTATTATTCAAAATATATACTTTAGTGTTTGCCGGAATTCGCTGAACATGTACCGGTTCAAGTTTTACAATACATTCGTCAGTTGTCTCTGATTTACTTAATTTCAAACATAAATATATATGACACCAACCATCACCGGATATAACTATAAGAGTATTACTACCACAATTCATTAAATCTCCAATAGCTATTGCCGTAATTATACCCAATCCAGATATTTTCTGTATTTGCCGTTGTCCTTTAAAAATATAAAGATCACCTTCCATGTTGCCAACAACTAATTCTATATCATTATCATTGTCAACATCACCTAGTGCAACGGCACTTTTAAACACATTTCCAGGTAGCTCAAAATCAAAATGATCAACAAAAGTTGCAATATTCATTTTGATAATAATTAGGTACGTTAATCTGAAAACAAAATATTTAATTTAAACATTTTTATTTTTTTCAATGAAATGTAATCTATTAATTTAGAATTATTACTGACAATATTGCAAGATAATTAGTTACCGAAATAGAAAAATGATAAAAATAAATAAATGCCTTTTAAAAGAAAGAGTTGATTATATTAAATTTGTAGATAACGATAGAAAATTAAAAAAAACCAATTTAACAAAATTATCACAAAAATTAAACCTAGTTTTTCGGCTAAAGATGTTTAAAATACAAGGTGTGTAAATATTTATTTACTTTATGATTCCCAACTAAAGCACAATGCAACTTTGAATTAGTTTTTATTTTGTCCTAAATATATTTTATCTATTAAACATTTTTCTGTTTTTTCGACGTCAAACAATAGCATATAATTGATACATTAAAAATTAAAGTATTGTAAATCCTTAAAAATAAAACTTAAACATTAATAGAGAACGAAATCGGCTATATTCCAGAAAAATAACACTACTAAAAACATGATATCAGTGTTTCGTGTCATATCACTCTTTGTTCTATGGTATTAACACAGATATCTATATTATTCATTATAATATAGATTATCTGTGGGTATTAACGGCAACACGTGATTGCTTATCATAATGTAGATTACACACTAGGCGATTCGAACGCCACGTTTCTCAAAAATGAAAAGCGCGCCAACACTTTATATTCTGTGATATACTAGTTATGTTTGAAAGGAAACATATCTACGACGTCCGTGTAGTAGGTAAAAACAAAAAAAAAAAAAATAATGGATTGCTTAAATATGCAAGAATACAAAAATGTTGTAGATGTATTCAAAAACGTAAAATATCGGAATCAGGGGTACAACGACCAGTAATAGTGATTTAATAATGTTTAGTATCTGTGTATTCGCATGCATGCTCTTTCATATACATAATATATTTAAAATCGGTAAAGTAAAACTTGCTAATAGTGCGCATTCAAGAAACTATGTATCTGCATTTGAATATGAAATCTGGAAAAGTACTTACCACCAATATTTCAAGAATTTTTAAACAAAGATATAGTTATTTGTATTTTTGTTTTTAATTTTTAATTTATTTCTAATTTTTAATAAATAATAATAAATACTTTTAATTTATATTTTACGGTTATTTAGTGCATATTTTAGCGGTTATTATTGTATTTTTAAATTCTTTAAGTCTAGATTCTATTAATTATAAATGCAAGATACTAAGTGCAACACTCATTGTAACTTATCAAATAAATATACTACAGATTTTAAAATTGATTATTTGGTATTCCTATTAACATGTTGACTGCTAATGTCAACAAGTATTTCCTTTTATTCAATGAAAAAACAACATAACTTTCAGAAATTTGCTTAAGTAAGAACCAAGTTGCAGTCAACATGTTGAAGAATTTATTTATAATTGACAATGTAAAAATATAATGATATAATAAAATAAACAACAATAAAACTGATAGTATAATGTAGGATAAGGTTATTAATTGACTACAATTGAAATAAACAAAAAAATAATAAAAAATATTTAACAATGATAAACAACAAAAATAAGTAAATATTTAAAACTTAATATTGCATTTAAATATTAGTTGCATAATGTGCACGTTGTGTGCAGACCCAAACAATCAGAATGAAATCCATGGCCACATCTAATAAAAAATAAAAATAAAAGTGAATACATATTAGAGTAAATATATTAGGATGTGACTTATTTGAGTAAAATACTCACCTGAATACAAACATGGGTTCCAATATAAATTTTTGTTTACATGAGGAACATATTATAGGATTCGATATACCATGTTTGGCTACATTTAACGCTTTAGCCAATTGATTATGTAAATCACCATGAAGCAATCCTTCTGATAACTTTAACATTTCCAATTCGTACTGACATTTATCAATTAAACCTAAATTTAATTTGTATTAATATACATTAATAAATATATGTTTAAAATCCTTAAATATAAATAAGTATGAAATATAATTAAAAACCTTATGATGCATTACACTTTTTAAGTTTGGACATAACTAAGGTATTTAGTGTATAATAATATAATACTTATTTTACCCATTATTAGATTCCTGAAATGACCAACAGTGCCTGTAGAACTATTTATTAGCAAATGCATTTCAGTGGCTAAATTAAGGTCACTGATATCCAAAATTTTTCGTAAATGTTCTAAATAACATAAATGACAAAGAAATAAAATATAATTCAATAGAAAGTAACATATAAATTGAAAATACCGTGTGATTGAAGACTAAGAAGACATTGTAATATTGGTAACCACGTAGATTTTGGATCAAGCACAGCCGATCCTCTTTGAGCTAATGCTATTAAAGCTTCAGTACATTCTTCAACAGAATTTTCCTAGGAAAATAATTAATAATTACAGTTTAATGAAAAATATTCAAGATAAAATTATATTTCTAATTTTATACAAATGTCTAATTTATTTAGCACAAAATCCTCAATGAATTGATGATGAGATAAAATTAAATAATCATCTGAGACACAGGTTTCTACATTATCAAAAGCCTATGTCAGATAAGTTATTCTGTAATCATATATGAAAAATTGCAGGAGTGAAATTCATAACAATAAACTATCATAGTTTTTGTTAAATCAAAAATGAATAACACTTTTTTTTTATGAAGGGCTACTTATAGAAAGTTAATTATACATAACTTATTTCTTATAAAACTTAAAATACTTATTAATTATAAAAGGCAATAAAAATTGTAAAGGTAAAAATAATTATTAGTTTTACTATAAGTCTACATACATTTTATTAATTAATTAAATTAAATTAAAAAAAAAAAAAAATTGATTGATAAATTTATGTAGATTTGTAGTAAAACTAATTTTTTTGAATATGTAAAATGTTTGTTACACATACACACACACACATATATATAATATTTATAATTGATTAACTATCTACTAACCTCTTGTATGGCTTCCTGCAGTTTATTGAATAATAAATCAAATGCTCCCTGAAAATCACCTAATCTTTCCAGCAACATTGCAGTAACATTATCCAACCCGGCTCCTCTTGTGGCCTAAAATTATTCAAGTTATAAAATTTCAATAGTAAACACATATATAGTTATCTCTTACAGCCATTGCTTTTGTTAAATGTAATGAATCATTAGATTTTACAAAATCCAATACAGCATTTGGTTCATACTGACATAAAAGTTCCATGTAATGAGTACATAGTGTAACATCGGAATTTATATATGGTCTAAAAATAAAATCCAATATTAATTTTAGTAAATCAAATGATAAACAGGTAACAGTATTACATAAAAAATAACATTACAAATAATAATCTGAAATCTTTACTTACATTGCACCTTTTAAGAAGAGAAATTTTTGATGATTTGTTTTTATTTGATTAATAACATCAGACATATATTTTTGATAAAATGTACCAAAAATTAAACCACATTTACCAGCATCTATTTCCAATAATACCTGTATTGAATCAATAATAATAAAATTTTATTTAATTTGTACTAAATAATGAGTAGATTAAAATCATAAAATAAACATTTATTAGATAAATATTTTAACAAAAAAAATAAATAAATTTTAATATTTTTATTTTATTTGCCTTTAAATTGTCATAAGATAGCTGTTCAAAATATTCTGGTTTTGAACTGATGAATGAAAATATCTGATGTTTTTTTGAATCATCAAGTATATAATATTTAAACATCTGACTAAAATCTCCACGTTCAGCATAAATATCTCTGCATACAGCATAACTGAAAAATAACAGTTAAAAATTAAACCTACATGATACAACTTACTTTTTTATTTAAGTTCTAACTCACAATTTAGCTTGTTCAGCAATTTTCAATACATCAGGATTATCATCAAAAGCACCTGAGCGTATTAGTTGAATAAATGCTTTTTCCCGATCTTCAAAAGGTGTGGTTTGTTCTGAAGATATCAACATTGATATAACAGCTTCAAAGACCTTTTTATCCGGTTTTATACAATTATCTTGTTCTTGTTGCCATTGTACTATAAATGCATATACTAAACCCAGTTGATTGGACTAAATATAAAAATTGTTTAGTTGGAAAATATTCAATTTTAAATGTATCAAGTAATAATGTATATGCATACTTTTAAATCTTTGCTATTCATTGTCAGAGATGATAAAATACAACAAATACGTTGTTTTTGCTGACTTGTAAAATGATGATCAGAAAATGCCATAGAAAGTACATTTAGAAACTCAGTAGTATTGAATTTAAGCAAGATTCTATAGTATATACAAAAAATTAAAAAATTTCATACATATATTTTTAAATAGTTATAACTACATTCGTTTAAAATATATTTACCTTAAATATGGATATATATCTTCATCATCTTTTGATTTTATACTGTGTTGAGAACAAAGGAATTGTACAATATTGTTTCTCACCACATCCTGTAAATGTTGAGGTATATCTCCTCTATTTGGATAAGCAATTCCTAGTAAACATCCACTCATATAAATCAAAATTTTGTTTCCGAGTTCTATAGTTAAATCTTTATACTCTAAAAATACACATACATTAATGAATTAAATATTTTAAATAAAAGTTTATTCTTTAATTATACCTCCATTTGATGATGTAGTAATTTTAGGAACAAGTTCTTGTAAGGGTGCAATATAATCTTCTAATGCTCTTGTCCAAATACTTATGAGACCATCATATAGTGAATGACCCCTTGCTAAATGTAGAGATTGTTCAATGTCTAAACATTCAACTTTTATATTGAGCATACATTTTTCAAGTTCCTGCATTATAAGATTAAACTTACTGTTGAACAATAAAAGTAATTAAATTAAAATACCTCCAATTGATTAGTTTGTGAAAGGTATGCAAATAACTTTTGAACTATAACTGTTGGCACTTCATCAAATTGACCTTCGAATAAATAATTCTTTAAACAATCCAAATATACTTTATAAGCAGATTCAATTGACTCTATTCCATCCCATAAACGATCAAATAATAGATCTCTGGAAAAATTAAATTTATAACAATAAACTATTCTAAATCAAAGATTTGTTTAAAAATAAATGCTCAATTTCTTATGTAATATAAAATTTAAATATTATATTAAATTACAATTAAATGACTTTTCTTATTTGTTTTCACAATTTATTATTTAACACTATTTTGTATAAATGACAAATTTTCACAATCATACAACTTACGTTTTTTGCAAATGCACACATATATCAAATACAATTGGAATACCTTCTTTATAATTTGTAGAATTATTCATATCAACCATTGACTCAATATAAAGAGATACTATGTCAATAACCTGATAAATTATAAAATTAATTTATAGTTAAGCAAAAAATACAAAATAAATTATAATATACCTTTTCCTTTACAATTCTATGTCTATGAGCTCGTGTGCCTCTAAGGCCAAGAACAGCTTTGCCTCTTTCTTCCAAAAAATCAACACCTAATTGTAATGCATCACCAAAAAGTTTCTATAACATATGAAATGTAAGACTTTACAAAGTTATTGTTATGAATATTAAAAATATTACTTTATCAGTCAAACTATCTAAACGTTCAATCCAACTTCTAATACTTATAATGTGAATATTTTTCTTGCCTAATAATATTAATTGACTATTATAACCATGAACTGCACTATAACAACATATATCCTAACAAAACCAACAATGTATTAAATTAACATATTTAATTTAATTTTATTGTAATTTATTTTATAAATAAATTACTTACTAAATGTTGACTATCTATACCATCATAATAACTGGAAGTATAGACTAATGAAATGTTCAAAACATCTGAACATTCCATTTCATCTCCAACACGAACATCAACAAGATACACTTTTTCAGATGAGTCCATAGTCAATAATGTGCGAGCATTCATCCAGCTACATGCAAGAATTGTGTATGGTAATGTTATTTTTTGTAAAGTACAACAACAAAGACAATCTTGGTCATTCATATTGACCTATTTTGAATATAAATTATATATTTAATTATCTGCTACATTAGAACTTATAAATAACATAATAAAAAAAATACCTGATAAAAGTAAACTGTATCGTCTCGTGTAAAAGCTAATACTGGATCCATTATTTTGTGACTTGAATTTGTTGTTTTATTAAATTGTATAATTACAAATTGCCAAGATAATAGAGGTAAACATGGACGTGAGGAAATTATATTTTGTGATAATAATAATTCAGTATTTGGACGAATTGTTACAATAATTAACTTGAAATTAAAATTAAAATAACTTTATGAATACAACTAATAGTAATAAAATGTTGAATTTTTAAATGGTTCACAACCAACAATAAATTTACTTTTGATAAAGTTGCCATTGCAATTATTATATATCCATTCATAGGATGGCTAGACAATTGATTGAATAACAATGGTTCAATACAACATACTCTTCCACGACCGCCAGAAAACAAACATTTTGGTTCCACACTTCGTATGCCAAAATTTCTTTTGAAATTTAACTCAAAAACTGAACCAGCACTATCATTTACAACAGCTAAATTAGGTAAATCTGTAAACTGAAATATGAGGTATAATAATAAAATAAATTATTTACAGATAATTATTTATTTGCTCACAAATGTTTCAAAGTTGCTGATTCAAAATAAAAAATAATCAATGATAATTAATCAATCAATAAAAAATTTTTTATGATAATTTAAAATTTACCTTTAGATGTAATACTGCAGTGTCTGGAGTATGAGCATCATTCATAACTCGTAATGTTTTGCAAGTAGTAGAAGACGAATCAAACATTATTATTGTTCCATTAATGTATCCAACTAATAGTCTAGAACAATCATGGTTAAAATCTATAGCTGATACTGCACCACAGTCCACTGCTTCATGATACCATAGGAATGTTTGTGAGGAATCAAATAAAATCATAAAACCTTTGGTAGTACCAATGGAAATGAGAAGTGAATATTTAATAGCAGTAGGTTGTCCAGCATTAAATCGATCCTAATACATAAATAGTAAATATAAATTATTTTTGAACTTATAAATTATTTTAAAAAGCATATTGATTAAAGATACTAACACAAAATGATTGCATTTGATTAGATACAGGCTTTAAAACAGTATGGCGTAAAATCCGTCCTGGATCTGATTTTATACTTAAACTTTTGGGTAATTTTTCTATGAGTAAGCGATTGCTACAAGAACTACCTAATGAAGCAGAATCAGCTCCTGAATCATACCATGGTACTTTTAACTAAAAATCAAACATAATATCACTAATTTATTACAAATATTTTTTTTATTTGGTAAGCTATTTACAGTTAAAATACTGTCATAATAAAAATGTATAATCAATTTCAAATAAAAATATAAGTAACATGTATGAATGTATATTCTTTAATAATTAAAGAATATGTATATATATATATATTTATTTATATTTATATTTTTATAATTTAAAATGTTGACTGTTACATTTATAAAAAAAAAATAATTCTCAATAAAATTTGAACTTTGTTAATGTATTTATTCCTATTGTTTATTTTTTTAAGTTAAGTCTGATTAAATTAATACAATTGGTTCTCATTACATTTAAATATATTGTTTTGTAATATGATTTTACTCAAAAACATGGTTTGAATCAATCAAGTAATATAAATTGTTATAAATAATTCCATTTTATCTACAAATTTACTTTGTTCTGATAGACAGTCAGATCATCTTCACTCATTAAGGATAAATTTTCATCGTTTAGTATACTTTCTACAGTTGGAATGTCATTAACTTTAGGAATATTGAATTCTGCGTCATCAATCTGAATGAAAAGAAGTATAATGAGAATATTAATTATAAATAAACTGTATAATCGTAATAGGGATATAATTATATACTTCAGATGAACCCAGATCCAATGATTCTAATATGTTCATCAATGATTGTTTTTCTTGGTCCATTGCATTGGCTTCCATTTCATCTAAAATGGATTGGTTATTTGTTTATTTGTACATTCTATATTTGAACAGATAATTCAAAATATTAATATTACATGAACTATTACAAATCATATAACTGATGACCTACCAGACAGAAATACTGGCAATAGATGAATATCAGTAAGGACAAAATTTGGCTGTTCATGTGAATAAATCATGAGACATCATTATGTTATCACACATGAACAATCTGAAAAATTAAAAATATCTATCTGATGCTGTGTGGTTTAGACACATTTTTTTTTTTTGTCTCTCCAGACAAATCGAATACAAATTTCCTTTAGTCAAAACAACATTTGCCTCCTATGACCAAAAATATATTAAAAATCGTAATATCTACTGGTGAAAAGTGACAGAATGTGTTAACCAACAGCATGATCAACGAACTGTTCGCATACTCCCAGTTATATGGGATAATAAAACATAAATTATTCACTTTAGTCGGTAATTACCTTATCAAATAATTGTAAAACGGACCCCGCGGTGCATCTCTGATTGTTAAAGATCACGGATCGAAGACGATCTTCATGATCTTGAATTTGATGATCAGTGATCTTGTGATCACATTATTAATATTGTTGTTGGAATTGAATTGAAATTCGAAGGCGCTTTTATCCATCTTATCATGACTAACGTTGTAAAATTGATACGAACTATTTCTTGAATCTTACTACGTGCAACCGATAGATAGGGCTGTATTTTAAGTAATTTTCGTGACCAACTTTACAGTTAATCGAAAATACATTGCTTAAAAAAATATGTTACAAAAATTCATTGGTGTATCTAATTAGAAAATAATGAATGAAAACAAAGATGACATATTCAATTAATTCGAAAAACTCAGAAAAACCCAGAAAAATTAATAGAAATGAAAAAGAAAGTTTAAAATAAAAATTATGGAATGTTCTATATTAAGTTTTTAATGTATATTTACTATTTGATAAATAAATAAATTTTATAATAATATTAATTACACTGTTGAAGTTAATAAATATTTGTTATTATTAATTTATATTATAGAACGGTGATGGAGGGGGAGGGGTGATAAAAGCCCCCTAAGCTGCCTCATATTTAGCATACTCACAAATAATTTTAGAACTACATTCCTGCTCTTAACTATTAATACATATTTATGTTTAATATTATAAATAAATTATTACATAATATCATACTATCTCATGATGACCCTAGATCCACGTTTCCATGACAAAATATATTACAAGAATCTATTGATAATCCAATGGAAACTAATAACGCTGGAAACAAAAATTATCTTCCTCTACCAACATTTTTTAAAGGTATAGTAATATATACATAATTCAATACAAAGTAGAACTAAAACAAAAATAAGTGGTTGTTTACAATACAAGATATATATCATTGCACTCGCAATACACAGATTATTATGCGCAATGTTGCTGTGTAAAATAATTGTTTGTTTTTTTTATTTTTTCTTCATGAACGGTAATCTGCTATCTAGTTGCCCAACAATTGTGGGTCTGATATCCAATAGTTTCCGTGGAAAAAACATTTTTTTTATCTTAAATTGATAAAAATTATATCGTTAGATCTGCTATAAATATTGGAATAATAGCTATGGAATTAAATTAAAATGTTTACTGTTTTGAAAGGTATTTATCAAGATTATTCATTTTATTTCACTCAGAGATGAATTGATAATACATTTTTGTGAAAAGTTTTTGTTTTTTATTTCATTGAGCATGCTACCTAGTCACCTAGCGAATGTGGGTTCACAATCCAATATTCACCGACGAAAAAAATTATTTTTCTAGATTTTACTTGGATTGATAAAAATGATATCATTAGATCCGGTTCGAAACTATAAATGTAATTATGATAACATTTTTCAATTTTGTCAAATTATAATTGATTTTAGAGAGGTTTCTAATTGTTATGTATTCCGAGATGAAAAGCATGTAGATCAACTAAATATTGTTATATTTCAATCTTATGTGGGCCCTGGGGCCCCCACAACTCTAAATCCGACCCTGATCATACGAAATTAAATCATATATATTATATATATATATTTGAAATCTTGAAAATGGTTTTCAAATTCTATTGATAATTTTTCCATCATACTCACAAAATGATTTGTCGGAACGTCAATAAAAGTATTTTTTTTAATTTCTTGGCACGTTTTAAAATGTAAAATATTATGCATTAATATTTGGTTTTTAAAAAGTTGTAATTTTATTTCAAACGATTTTACATCACTTATCAGCAGTGGCGGATTTAGCGTTTTGGCGCCTCTAGACTTAATTACTCTGCCCCTCCCCCCATCATTCTACCAAGGAACCAACAATATTTGGTCTAAACCCTTCTCTTCAAATTCTATTCAGTTTTTTTATCAAAAAAAAAAAAAAAAAAATAGAAAATCTTTAAAATAGAAAACTTCTAAAAATAAAATATTTCATGTCTATTATTTTACTTAGATACAATTATTACCAGTACAAATAAACAATGCTTATACAGTCACATAACGGAAATATAAATAGCCAGATATGAAAATACCTATAGTCGGATAGTCGGATGTTCCCAATAAGTACATAGGTACTAATAAGTTATTAATAATAACTAGTAGGTAAGTAACTGTTATTATTTTATTACAAATGAAATATTTTCAAATTGCAATAATAATTGTAATATTCTTACTATAGCCTATAGGTACGTATCATACAATGTACATATTAATATATTATTATAACTTTTTAATATTATTTTTATTCGCATTTATATGACAAATAATGACAAATATAAAAAACATGTTTTAAAATAAATATACCTAATTAGTCAATAATAACACTTAATTCTATAAAAAAAAAATCCGCCCTTCCAAAAAAGCCGCTCTAGGCTATAAGCCTTTTAGCCTGCCCCTAATCCGCCATTGCTTATAAGTTCGAAAATAGTTCTAGTCATAAATTCGATAAGTGAACAAAGATGATATTATATTCGATAAAATGTACAATGGATATACCTAATGTATATTTATTATACATATATATATATTTATATATTTATTTACTATTGAATATTTTATTGAAATTAACAAAAAAAAAAAAAAAACGTGATGTATATCGATCCACAGTATAAATATGAATTTCGAATGTGGCCCGTAAGTTGAAAAAGGTTGGGCACGCCTGCCATATACGATTAATTACTATATCTTACAGCAGTGGTTTTCAACCTTTTTAACCATGCGGCACACTATCACCAACAAAATTTTCGCGGCACACCAATCCATAAATTATGTGAACAATATTATATATATATATAAATATATATGTATGTATACTATTTACAGTCTACTCCAGTGGTTCCCAAACTGTGAGGCGCGCCTCCCTTGGGAGGCGCAAGCTTTTGGCAGGGGAGGCGCGAGCCGCTTGGTAAATATTGATATTTTTGAATCAACAATAATTTTGTTGAAATGTCATAACTATTCCAAACAAATATTTCATATTGATGAAAAAAAATAATAATAAACCAAATTACTCTATAGAATTGCTTATCTATGTATTATAAAATCAATGGTATTACTTAAAGTACAATAATATACTTGATTCGGTGATTTCCGTAAATGTCGTTACAGCATTATCGCATTATCGATAACCGAATATTATTGCGTCTACCCTACCTAATAGTGTAGAATTGTAATGAGTAATGACCAATATTAATATATTTGCACGGCAATAGCAGCAGTAGTCGTCGTGAATGAACCGTACGTAAGGTGTATTCGTCATTTTCGAATTGCGCATTATCAACTCGTGTTTTATATCTTTTCTAGAAAAATGGAAAAATTTCTTAATATTAAGAGTACAACCAAGCGTTTAAATGAAGACAACAATAAAGAAGAAAATAAACGTAAGTTCAGAAAATACGATGATAGTTATTTAGACTTTGGTTTTACTTACATTAAAATAGACAACGAAGAACGTCCGAAATGTGTTATTTGTTTAAAAGTATTAGCTGCCGATAGTATGATTCCAAATAAATTAAAGCGTCATTTTGAAACTAATCATGGATCGTTAATTAATAAAAAACGTGATTATTTTGTAAGGCAACGTGAACAATTAGAAAAACAATCAACCAGTTTTATTAAACAGACAAGTGTTCCAACCAAAGCACTTTTAGCTTCTTATAAGGTAGCATTTCGTGTTGCTCAGAGTAAAAAACCTCATACAATTGCTGAATAACTCATTTTACCATCAGCAATTGATATGGTTTCTACTATGATCGGGGAATCTGCTGCAAACCAACTTAAAAATATTCCCTTGACTAATAATACAATAAGTCGGCGAATTCATGATATTTCTGAAAATATAAATGAACAGCTTATTAGTAAATTAAAAAAACAAAAATTTTGCAATTCCACTTGATGAAGCTACCGATAGTAATAAAGACGCACACTTGATATGTTATATTCGTTTTATGGACAAAACAAATATTATAGAAGAGTTATTATTTTGTAAACCAATTTTCGGAGACACTAAGGCTCAAACCTTATTTGATATCACTAATGACTTTATGAATTGTAATAATATTAATTGGGAAAACTGTTTGGGTGTATGTACAGATGGGGCTCGAGCTATGGCTGGTCATTATGGTGGACTTCAGGCTTTAATACGAAAAAAAGCTCCAGAAATGATATGGACTCATTGTATTATTCATCGAGAATCTTTAGCATCACAAAATATGTGTCCATCGTTAAATACCGTACTTCAAACAGTTATAAAAGTAGTAAACTACATAAAAACAAGGCCTGTTAAAGCAAGGTTCTTTAAAAAAATATGTGAAGAAATGGGAGCAGAGCATACTGCGTTACTGTTTTATTGTAATTCTAGATGGCTATCAAAAGGAAACGTACTAATACGAGTGTTCGAACTTAGACAAGAACTTTACACTTATTTGAGTGAAGAAGGTCATAATGATTTTAACAAGTTTATTGATAGTGATTTTGTAATTAAATTAGCGTATTTATGTGATATTTTTGAAAAACTTAATATACTCAACACATCTTTACAAGGTAAAGAAACTAATATTCTGCAATTATATGATAAAGTGGTTGCTTTTATTAAAAAAATCGAGTTATGGCAAAGGAAACTAACCGAAGAAAACGGTAAAACCACGTGTTTTTCATTTTTAAAAAGTTTTCTTGAAGATAATGATCTTGAATTACCAATGAGCTCACTAAACATAATTTCTGATCATCTGATGACTCTTAAAAATCATTTCGAGAAATATTTTCCAGAAGACATCGTACAATACAATTGGATTAAAGATCCGTTTAGTGAAAACCCATTACCAAATTTCACAACTACTGAAGAAGAACAATTAATCGATATTTCATCTAATTCTTCGTTACGAATGAAATTTTCTTCATTTTCACTTTTAGAATTTTGGAGCAGAATTAAAGATGAATATTCTGAAATATCCAACAAAGCTTTGCGTGTACTACTACCATTTGCGACATCGTATTTATGCGAAGCAGGCTTTTCTGCAGTTGCTGTATTGAAATCAAAATATCGATCAAAACTTAATATTGAAAAAGAAATGCGTGTGGCTGTCACAACATTGCTACCTAATTTTGAAGAATTATTAAACAGAAAACAAGCACATTGTTCGCATTAAGTTTAAATATTAATACGCATTGTATTTTGTAATACTTTAAATTGAAGTTTAATAAT